AATTTAGAAATTAAAAAATATTGTTTAGCAGATATCAAGCATGTTCTAAAAGATCTGTGTGTGTTTCTATCTTTACTACCAGATTGTTTTAATAATGTATACTCATGTTATTTCTCTTTAGCTGCTACAAGTATGAAGTGGATAGAGGCCAAGATGAAAGCAAGTATTCCTTTCATTTTGTAACTTCTAACAATAACATTTGTATGCTATATTTAGTAAAGTAATATAGCATCATAATCATTATTATGAATCCATTTACATCATTTTTTGTGTGCCTTCCAGTAAATGCAGTACCATAGGTTTGCCAGCAGGTGTCAGTGTTAACCAATCTAAAGTTCTTTGTAAATGACTTTAGGTGACACAATTTTTATATTTGTGTTTGTCTGTATACATGTAGGAGCTGGGAGTGACGGACAACCCAAACTACAAGATCACATTTATGTTGGACAGTGCAGCCATGATTACGGTACACACCCCGAAAAGAGGGGTGGTAGAGGTAGGTCCAGCTAAAATGCTTTATGTTTCCTTCTAGACTTTCAATTTATGTGTAATGAGCTTGAGGAGAAATAATTACCCCCCTGAATTGTTGAAATGGCCCCTTTTGGTGAAATGGAGACAGATGTGGTAATGGCAATGTGAGCTAATGTTAGCGCCCTCCAGAAAATGATGTTAATTCAAGAGGAGGAGGAAAATAGTGTTTTAAGGGACCTTCTTATTGGCTTTTGTGGTTTGAAAAAGAGCCAAATGAAACACTTTCCCACACCAGATTTTGTCCTGGCAGGTTTTAGCTGAAGCTCTTCTTACCAATATCCATCTCAGAGCTCAATAAGTCACTCTGTACTCCGGCCTCTTTTTCTGATCTCCCGCTATCCTTACCTCTGCTGTACGGGTGACACATCCCCGAAGCAGGATAACAGTTTCTGATCACGGAGAGACGAAGGCACCACGCGAAGCGACAGTGATCCAGCCGTAGCTCCCAGACTCCCCAGTCAAGGAGCATCTCTGGATGATCTGGTGGACCCACAGAGATACCGGCGCGATGTCCGGCATTCTCCATTAAATATAGCATGAACTCTATGATGCTTCAATCTTATTGTTGAATTTCTCTAGAAAAGAATATGAGAAAATAAACATCCTATCCTAAAAGTAGAATGAAGCAAGAACTGAGTCCAAAATGACTGCTATGGTATCCTCATGTTTACGCTTTTACTACCTAAATTCTATGACTAAGTATCAGTAAGTGTTAAAATGCAATTGACTCTGTGTCCACATTGTTCTCCATTTAGGTGGGATGTTTATTGTCGTTTTTTTTCTGTTTGGTTCTGATCATTGCTCTGACTTCCTGTTTTGAGTACATCAAGTAGAACGGTCATTTATCGTGATGTTTCTCATTATTCTGACATTTTTCTAATAGCGATTGTGGGGGAAAAATCCAAAAACGGACAGAATTGCCACTTATGCATTTTACACACAAATTTCTATGAGAAAGTCAATCATTTAAGAACTTTGAAAATATAAACCATATTTCTGAATTTCTTAAAGATAATTGACAACCTCTAAGATTTGTTGTTGGAAAAAAAAAAAAAAATTGGAATGGCACTCATACTAATGCAGTTAGCGTAATTAACTGTAGAGAAGATACGATTAGTTTATCCTTACTTTATCAATACAATATATATCCTAACATATTCTGATTCTAAGTACATGTCACCCATCTCTAATCCCCAGGTGAAGCCTTTAGGTGTGATATGGGGAAAGTATGAAGAATTCTACAACAGAAAGAATACGATCATGTTTGATGACATCGGGCGAAACTTCCTCATGAACCCACAGAATGGGCTGAAGGTCGGCTGTGCTTTCTGCTCTTCTCTTTCCCCACCCTGCGCTCCACACATGCTGCTGTATCTTAGCTTATGCTGATGTTTTCAGATCCGACCCTTCATGAAGGCACATCTCAACAGGGAGAAGGACAGAGAGCTCTCTAAACTGGCTCAGTACCTGAAAGAAATCGCCAAGCTTGATGACTTGAGTGGACTTAATCATAAACACTGGGAGAGGTAGGCAGAAAAAGCAGAAAAACGGTCAATACTGCAGCAAGCAGGATAGTTTTAATTACAAACACAGTACTTGAAAGATGTAGGCAGTATAGTTTGCAGTAGTTAAATTAAGCCTTAAGCTTTTACTCATCTTGTTGTATTACAACCACAGCTATTTATATAAGCATTAAAACCGTGAATCATTTTTTTCCTCTGCACTCCTACACAGGTGGAGAAAATCCTTGGTAACCCACATTCATGATAAACCAACAATGGTCACAGAAATAACTTTAATCTGACATGTCATATAAAAAAAATGTATGAAGAAATGAAAACCAAATATTGCTTTTCAACTATGCTTTAACAAAAATTATTTAAAAAACAACTCATGAAACAAAAATGATGGTAACCTAACTAGATGTTTGGTTGCACAACTTTTTGAATTAAAAACTGGAATCAAATGATTCCTGTTACTGTCAATGAGACGTCTGCTCCTCTCAGCAGCTACTCTGATCCACTCTTCATCAGCAAACGGCTCCAAATGTCTCAGGTTTGGAGGCTGCCTTTACCAGACGGCGTGTTTCAGCTCCTTCCATAGATGATCAATAGGATATAGTTTAGGGTTCATATACCCCATTTACACTACCCTTGAGAATTTGTGCCGAAACCGGTCCGAGCTCAGTAGCTGATATACTTATTGTGTGTAAATGGAAAGCAAACTGAACTGAACCGAGCTAGACACAACCGAACCGAGCTAACTGCAGACCAGTTCCAGAGGTGGGCTCGGCTCGGTTTTTCCCTGGCTCGGTTTTCTGATAACAACAGCGCATGAGCAGAACGCGTCATCTCCGTCTGGCTGCACATCGCGATTCACATTCCAGTAGATGGCGGTAATGCCCGTCCAGAAACAGAAAAAGAACAACTACTTCTTCAACTTTAAACAACAATCGAAATCTTCTCCACTCAACATTTTAAATAAAGGTATTTTAAATAATAATACCGAAGTA